AACTCCTCAGGCAGCGGGATTCGCAGCCTGAGCAAAGAGAGAGAGAGAGAGAGCATCCTTTCCTCTGAGATTGGAGGGAAAAACAGGAATATATCAATGCACATTCTAACTCTCAGGGTGGAAATTCAAACTCTGACAGCTATATATACTTTCTTAAACATGTTTTCTAAATCCCATGAGATAAAAATCAAGATAAATAACTTTTTTTTTTCCCTGCAAATGCATTCTCCTAGGTACTGTTTTGTTTTGTTTTGTTTTTAAATAGGAATATTTAGGGTTTAGTTTTAAGTTTGGTACTTGTTAAATCATAAGGGGCTTCCATTTTAAACATAAGCATAACCCAACTTCCTCCTTTAAAATCTTAGGGTGTTGTTATGTTTAGTTAGTAAAGTGTTTTTCTTTTCATAAGGTAATATAGCATGAACTTCTTGAAATTCACAGAAATATCCTTAAAACCTTTCAGAAGAATTTAGTAGTCAGTGTGCTTTTACAACATCAAAACAAGAGTCACTTGGGTTTTGGTCAGGCTAAGTCACAAAACATTTCAGTGAATTATGTGGCACTTTTGGTACAAGACTTACAGCTACTGAAATGTTCACATGGTATCTTGCCCGAAGACAGTAGGAACAGGTCTGGAATTCAAAGTGGTACCAAAGATTAGAGCATTTGGTGTTTATGTGGAGTGTGTATTATATCAAAGATTATAGAGATAATGTACTATACCAATAGCCAAAAATAAAAATCTGAATTGGATCAAATGTCAGTAAATTAGCTGAGAAAATGTTATTTCATACCAGAGTCCAGAAAAAGTACAAAAGCAACTTAAATATATGTAGTAGTACCCTAACAAAAAATGGTAGTCAGATTTCTCATGGTGTGATGAAGTCAACCTATAAACATGAATGCTTTGACAGTAACCTAGGGAATAAAAAACTACATATATATATATATATATATACACATATATATATACATGCATATTTATGTGTGTATATGCATATATACATATATAATATATATAATTTAAAAATATTATATATATATATATATATGGAACTTTTCTTTTAACTTTAATGATTTCTGCTCAAGAGTGGAGATTTCTGTATTCTGCATATTTTCTTTCCCTTGTGTTGTTTGGGAGCGCACTGTTCTTTCCACCAAGCAACTAAGTCCATCCTCCAGGGAATATGCTTTCTGATCCATGTAAATATTGGAACTTTTGTTTTTCTGTATATCATTATGTTGCTTAGGTAATTGTGGTTCTCATATCTAGTGACAATTTTTTTTAATTTCTCTTGGGATTGATGACAGTCTACCTTTTTGATGGTTTTAATTCCCAACGCATTTACAGAAAATAAAATTTCAGTTAATTAAAAATTCACATTGCAGAATTTGAGGGGTTTTTTCCCATCACTTCCCATCTCTCCTCTGAGTCTTTGAAACATAACAATGAAACATTCATTTCACTTCTAGATTGTGTGTTCTACAGGGGGCATTGAAATCAAAGAATCTGTTCAGTTCTGTGATTTCATGGGGGAAAACATCTTCTCCTTTCCAGAAAGTTCGTTCTGAAAGTTCAAGACCAGGAACAGGCATTGATTCACACACTTTAAGTCAGGATCTTTGCTGTACTGAGCCTCCTGTTCTTTTACAGACTTTCTATCCAGTAGCAATTCCATAGTTGCTGATAAATGTGTCAATTCAGGAACTCCATCAGCCTTATCAGCACCTTACACTCACTGTTACATCGGTCTATCACAGTTTCCAAAAGTTAAACTTGATTTTTGTCCTTTTATTAGTATCCCTGCAACTCAAATAATCCAAGACTTGTCTAAAGTCTACGTAATGAAAAGTTATATAATCTTCCTCACTCTTCTAAAGTCTTAACCAGAATTGTTTTATGTGTGTGTGTTTTGCAATTCATTGTAAATCATTAAATTTCATTTATTGAATGTATTTAAAATTTTAATATATTTAAATTCCATCTGTCTTTCTCAATGTGAGGTCTTATATTTGTTTCAAACCCAAGAAACTAAAAGACGACAATACTGTTAATAGATCTTTTTCAGCGCCGACACTGATTCTTCTTACTCATTCTTTTGATAGTGTTGTTTGCCCCCCTTTACGGATGGAGAAACAGGTAACCAAATGTAATGTCTCATACCTAGTTCACATTTTGAACACAGTGTTCATTCACTAGAATATGTCTTCCTTTCAGGGCAGTATCATGTCTTAACCAGTCCTTATGGAGTTTACATTTATGGCAGTTATCTGGATTAAATGAGATAGATTTTAATAAATCTAATTTCTCATTATCTGTTCTCCTCTCCCCCAACTTCTCCAGTACCTTCTCTGTTGTTCACCAGTCTCTTCATTGTCACTGACATCCTGAGCTTTGGGAGGTAGTTATGCTCACCACTAAACCACCAACACACCCCATCCTGTGCTTTAAAAGCGAGAAGTCAAATGCTATTTACTATCTAATTCTTTTTGGTAATGTTTATTTATTTATTTTGAGAGATACAAAGAAAGGGGCAGAGAGAGAGAATCCCAAACAAGCTCTATGCTGTCAGCACAGAGCCTGATGCAGGGTTCGATCGCACGAACCTTGAGATGACCTGAGTCCAAATCAAGAGTCATTCGCTGTTAAGCCACCCAGGCCCCTCCACTATCTAATTATTTGATATCATCACTAACAAAATAGAGTAAACGCAATAAAATAAAATAAAAATATTCCATTCTCTAGGGTGATTTTTAATCTTGACTGAGTAACAATTCAGACAAAGTTCTGCAAAGTGTGTGTGTGTCTGTGTGTGTGTGTGTGTATTTTCATCTCTTCTTTTAACCTGTACTTTCGGTAAGTTACTTTGAAACATTAGTCTTAAGCAAAACAACTATTGGTGGCAAAGCTTGAATTCAGTTCTAAAAGGGGATGTTTATGTATTTTTCCAAGAGTCTGGAGTAAGAACAAAGTGAGCAAATAAACAAAGTGAGCATTGAAATGGAATATTAGTGCCACTTATTATCATTATGAAGCATTTATGTTGTAGTCCTGGTAAAATTACAATGTGAAAACCATTGACATTGATTCCACACACTCTTACTGATGCTAACATGGATTGGGAGGGAAGTGCTGGCATTTGGGATCAGAAAGTTATAATGAGATATGTAGGATCATAATAATTTTGGTTTATTGTAGTTTTATTTATGCTAGAATATTAAATTGTCCTTGTTATCCCATAATATAAATTTATAAATTCTATCCCATGATTCTAGTGAGTTAAAACATCTCCAAATACTGGAGGACCTCCAAATACCAAGCTTGAAGCTTGATTATAATTTGCACACCTAAAAGTAATAGAGTTGAAAATTTTCCTCTGAAAAATTAACATTACCATTTAAAGAACTCACAATACCCCCTGTCTGAAATTGCAGAAATGAGTGTATAGTATGCTGTGTAGTTGGTCATTATACATTTAAAACACCAAGGCTAATAAAATGTGAAATATTTGAGAAAAATATTCTGGCTTATGAGATTCTTACATTTGCTTCATCTATGAAAGGGCCTTAATAAGATACTAAACCTAATGTCAGAAAGGAACAAATTAGGAAATAAAAGTTGTGTGTATTATATGCTGAACCTCAATATTTGAGAAATTGTGATTAATAATCTGAAACATCAAAAAGTGAAACTTAACTACTTGATAACGGAAATTCCTATTAAATTGAGGTAGCATGCAAATGATGCATAATTTCCCAAATTGAAAACATTCCATTAAATGTAATCACATTTGCTCATTCAATACATGTTTAATCTACCTTTAAAGTATTATTCAAATCCGGTTAATTTACTCATAAAATGATTAGGTCTAAAAAGATCAATTAAGATGACTATGCATGTTCAGGTACCCAGAATCCCCCATTAATTTTAATTTAATAGTAAATGTATGTAAATAAACATGTAGGTTGAATATAAATGACATAGAATAATAAAATAGTTCAGATCATAAATATGAAATCAGGAGCTAATAGCAATAAAAAATTTTTAAAAACATAATAGATTTTTCTGCAAGTTTGTATCAGTAGGATAATACTAAATCAATATAATTGCTAGTGACTTCGTTCTTGTTAATCTATCTTAAGATGATCTTTTATTTATTTAAAATAATTCCTTCATCTTCAACTGTATCTTTACTATAACTTCCAAATAATACATTATATAATGAAAATATTTCTGTCTTGTGGTTTATTGTTTCATGATATCAAGGTAATAGAATTAAGAAAATAGCATTTTCATAATAAACTTTCTCTACATGAACATTTCTAAATTCTTCGTTTGGGAAATTGCTTAGACTCACCTTGATCATTAATGTCATCAATACACATTCATTCCCCTCAAGTGAATTCACTTACAAAGGGGATAAACAGTTATACTCATCAGGCTCAGTATATTTCATTGATATTGATATCATCAATTCATATTAACTTTGATGTCAGTACTTAATGACATTAAGAATAGATACATTACAAATGAAAAGCATTTTACTAAGATAGTGATATTTCATAATTTCAATAGCATCTATATGTTTAGCAAAATTGATAGTGAATGATACATTTGAATATCCCTGGTTCCTTTTTAGGACCTCAAAGATACAACCTTTAAGTTTCAGGGTTCTCTGTTAAAAACTGTATATATTTACGATAAATTTTGTAAATAATTTCCAAAAATTACAGGTACCTCCTCTGACAGATGCCACTTTTAAAGTAACTTTTCCAATTTTTTATTCCTTTTAGACTAGGACTTTGTAACTTGCATTTCTAGATAACTGAATAATTATTAAGCCTATTTGCATTGTTTAAGGAGAAAAAAATCGATTATAGAATGATGGTATAATTGTTGTTATTGGCATTACAGTTAGTTGTTAAGCGTGACACATACTGATTAAAAAGGGTATTAGCACTAATCCTTGTGTTTTTTGGGGTTCTGTTTGCACTTTCAGAGACAAGGAAATAGCATGGCATGAAACATGGCTCAGTTCTATTACAAAAGAAATGTGAATGCCCCCTACAGAGATCGCATCCCTCTGAGGATAGTCCGAGCGGAATCCGAACTCTCACCATCAGAAAAAGCCTACTTAAATGCTGTGGAAAAGGGAGATTATGCAAGTGTCAAGAAATCCCTGGAGGAAGCTGAAATTTATTTTAAAATCAATATTAATTGCATTGATCCTCTTGGACGAACTGCTCTCCTCATTGCAATTGAAAATGAGAACTTGGAGCTCATCGAACTACTTTTAAGCTTTAATGTCTATGTTGGAGATGCGCTATTACACGCTATTAGGAAAGAAGTTGTTGGAGCTGTTGAGCTGTTACTGAATCACAAAAAGCCCAGTGGAGAAAAACAGGTATGTGCAAAAGCACCATTTTTAATATATTTTACTTGCAGAAGGTTTCTGTGGATGTTAAAATTCTCCCCAGATTTTAAGAATGACAAGAATTGAAGTCAGAACTATTGTGATAGACAATTACTGGTAGATACACACTTACTACCCACCAACAGTCACCTGCACCTGCACCCCCTGCTTGGCAAATCAGACCTTGAGTGAGAACAAAAGCAAAACAAAATGGCCTGTGTTGGCTTCCCTTACACTGGAAACATTTCTATGTAATGCTCAGCCTAGAATGCTGTTGGGGATCACTCTGTGTGTGTGGCTATTTTTCCTCTTTCATTTTTCAACTTTCTACAGCAACCGGCTGAATTTTTTTTGCTCTTTTCCTGTTTAATTTGTTTGCCTATTCTGGGACTCTGCATCTTACTGCAAAAGTGAATTCTATCACTTAATTTTGATACTGTTCATTAGCAAACTCTAGTGGATTCTTTTAAATTGAGGCAAATTAAAAAAAAAAGGATTGTTAGAAAATAACTAAACTCTGACTATAGGCTTAACTGTATTAAATTTACCAATGCCAAAGTGTAGCTATATCTTAGTGTCATCAGTAGAAAATAAGCTAAAAAGGTACACAATTCTACATACAATTTGTGGGGTGTTTTTTTCCCTATCTTCCTATTTTGTTGTTTGGGTTTTGTTTTTGTTTATTTGTTTGTTTGTTTTAACAGCTAAGGAAGTGAAGAAATCATGGACAGAAACAAGAAATCTGCTTTTTCTCTGTCTAGATTCTTCCCTTTGTCACTGCCCTGTATCTGAATTGTCTGTTTGATCCTTTTTCCTCTCACACTGAACTCTTCACTTCCCTGCATCAAGTCTAATAGACTAATTGCAAAGACATTGCACAAACTGTAGTGACTCAAAATGTGTCTTTTAAAGTAAAATCTTAAAACATGTGTTATTACACTCTATAGCGATTTCTGCCGTATTGGATAATGCACAAGCTCTGCCAATGATAGACTGTTAGGAGATGTTACATTCTTTTAAAGCAAGTTCTGCTGTGGCTACTGTTACTTCTGCTCTCCTGGAGGACTTTTATCAGGATGCTCGCCATTATTTGTAGAAAACTTCATGGCTGGAAAAAGGTCTCGCTGTGTTCTATGGTCCATTTTTATGCATGCCCACCACTTCCCCTTGGCTGAACCTAAGCTTCATAAAGCCACACTCCACAAGGACAATACTTCTCGGCTTGTTGGGTTACTGGCTTTTTGTTGTCTGTTTTATATCCAATTGTTTGTGTGTTCCCTTTCCATCATACTGCTAACATTTTACTGGTAGAAAATTCACTTGTTTCGTCTGTCCTTTCACCTGGACAGAAGTGGGCAGGTAATGGTAACACCTAAAGATATATGTTATATCCCAGGTTTTTACCACTAAAAGAGTGCAGGACACAACTAGGAGTGAGTAGAAGTCTGTTTTCATCTGTGTAAGTTCAGATGCTACTTCTTCAGTCACCCTGTGATTTTGAAATTCCTTCTGCAATCATAGCCTATCGTTTCTAATAACAATGGCCTTATATTGTACACCCTCTTGGTTTTGGTCTATATAGGCGACCATAAGAGAGGTGTCACGACGGTGGTCTGGGGATCTTTTTTTTTTTAATGGTTTAACTTTTTTTTGGGGGGATCATTGTAAATTGCAACAAATCTATTGAACAAAATTGTCCTTAAATGCATTCTTTACATTTATTACTAAATAACCTTAGTGCTGTTTTTTAGAGAACACTGGCCATACATTTCAGTGTCTCTTTAGCAAATGACATTTGTTCTGGCCAGAGTAATTTGGTGTCTGGAGAAGATATCTGCTATTATGAGAGTGTTTGTTGGAAGATATTCAACTTCTGAGCTAAACTAGTCTCACAAGTAGGTCCTGGCTCCTTCCAGGCACTTGATCTGAACCCTGATTATTAACAAAAGGCAGTAAAGGTTTGCAGTGTGCCAGGAGTCAGAAATATCCCAGGCCATGTGTTTCTGGAAGATTTCTCTTGTATCTGTTTGCTGGCCAAGAATTTTCCTTTTCTATTTGTACATTCTAGAATTCCTCCTGGGTGAAGGCACTGAGAATAAACAAAAAAATTGTATCTTTTTGTTTGAACTTTGTAATTTTGAAAGAGCAAATCCAACCTACCCCTAGAGTTCCTGGTACATTGTACAATGAAAGTGAGGTTGTGAGAACATAAAATGTATACAATGTAGCACGCAAAAGATGTTGTCCAGGCTGGGGGGTTGGGGATAGTAAATCCCTTTAGAGCTTGGCTGTTTATCTGTGATTTACTTAGATACTACATCTCTTAGGTACAGCCAACATCTTTTGGAATAACAGCCTCCATAAATCAGTGTGTTGTATGCAGCAAATATGTTCTTGACAGGAATCCTTTCTCTTATAAATTGTAATTGCTTAGATGATTCTTATGATTGTTGTAAGCCATTTTGTGTATCATTATAATCTGTCTAATTTCTAGTCTCATGGTTATCCCCCCGAAGACTCTGGAACACATTGCCATTAATTCTGTTGAGGTCCCTAAAGCCAAATGTTAATACTATTGAAAACAATAGTATCCAACTAGGCAAAAAAAAAAAAAAAAAAAAAAAAAAGATAAATTTGTCCTAAAATGGGTCAAGAAAGAAGATATAATATAAAAATTATACAAATGTGATTATTAGAACACTTAAGAACTTAAAATGTGACAGGTGTGGATTAGGAAATATATTCTTCTTTTGTAAGTTTTTCACAGATTAATTTCTTTCTCTGGAACAAGATGCAGTGTGTGATGGCATCCTGAAGTCATAGGGGCCATGAGATTTTCAGATTAGTTTGTGTACATTCACCAGGGAACAATTTATAATTTGCATACGCCTACTCTGCCTGGTGTTGTTGTCCTGGGCGCTAGGGAGCAGACATTGTCCCCGTTCTTTGGAGTCTTAAGATCTAGTTGTGAAAAGAAACAGGAAAATATCATGGGGATATGAAAAAAAAGATCATCACAATGGAAAAGATGAAGGAGAAATAAATCCTCAGGTAATGATGAATTCTACTGACTGGATTTGGTAAATACAAACTATTAGTGGGTAGAGGGCATAAGGGGGCAGGAGAAAGGCCTGAAGAAGAAGGAGGAAGGGTGTTCAAGGATATATACCTGGGAAAAGTTAACAGCATTCACTGGGATAGAGACTATGGGACATAGTCTATGGAACCTGATTGGATATACTCGGTTTTTATTTTCTTGAAATTGACATCTAGGAGGCAATTTGAAATTTTGGACTTAAGAAAGTGGTCTAGGGTTGATACATAGATGATAGTGAGGACATTGAGACAAATAAAGTCATCTCTTTTCCTATCGCTCTGACATTGATTTTCTCTTCTTGCCTTTATAAATTGTTTAAATGCTTGTGGTTATTAGCCTGTTAAAAGATTGTCTCAATGCAGCATCTAATGAAGATGTTTCAGTTGTGCTAGATAAATAGATGGACACAGATCATTAAATATTTCCTTCCACATTTAAGGTAGACCAACATTTAATCAGGGTATTGAGTTCTAATGTTTTGTTTTTATTTTATTATCACAAAGTATAAAGAGTAATACTTAATTTCTTTCATCTAGTAGACAGCATAGAGAATGTGTGGTTCTCTACACTAAGCAAGAAGACGGAATGTTGTGTGTTCTCATGTAGACTGCTCCCTCGCTACAATTACTCTGATATTCTCTGGTAATTTTATTGGACTTTTCTTTAACCTTCTGAGTACCTTACTTCTCTGCAGGGAATAATTGAGAGTGACTTTTTAGCCCCATTTTGAGCCAATTGATTGGTTACTTGACTTTTAATTATTTCTAGCAGACCTTTCTCTTTGACGTCATCTAAGGCCAGATTCAAGGCCACACTCAATTACACTTTCAACTGCTTCAGTAAACGTTTATCAGAAACAGAGCTTTCTCTTCCATTCTTCACTTACAAAGTGGTTCTCAGTATTCAGCATCATTAGAATCACTGCAAGGGTTTAATAAAACACAGACTGCTGGATTCCACCCCAAGAGTCTCTGATCCAGCAGGTCTGGAATGAGACCCTGGAACTTATATTTCCAACAAGTACTCAGGTGATAGTAATGCTGCTGGTCTGGAGACAGCACTGTAAGAACCACTTACTTAGAGAAGTGGAAAGTTAGAAAATGCCTGTGGTTGTATATCGTATGTTAGGTATTGAACTCTACTGTGCCAAACTGGGTTTCAGGAGATTTAAATTAATGTCCTTAAATACTAATGATTACATGATATTTAATATATGAGAGTCTCCCAGGTTCACTAATATGTTTATTATATTTTTCCCTTCTTTGGGAAAAAAAATTTTCCTAAACATTACTGATTAGTTCAACAGTTAAGCCTGGAGTACTTCAGTTGAAGAAATTTGTTTTAGAGCTCTACTAAAAAGAATATCAGATTTTATAACTTTGGGAGATCTTGGAGATTATCTAACCCAATCACTTCATTTTACAAAAGAGGGAAAGACGTTCCCAGTATGTACCCATAGTACATACCCATGTGTACCTATGCCAGGTTCATAGCTGGCAATGAACTTTGAGATAGTCTGAATGATGATGGTGAAAATAAAAATAATAATTATAAAAACAGTAATAATGCTAGACAATATTCATCAAGCCTGTCACTATGCCCAGAACTGTGGTAAGAGTTTTGTATGAAGGTAGGTGCTATTGTTATCCCCCTTTATAGATGGAGAAATGAAGGAATAAAAAGGTAAAATTGACATGTTCCAGATCACAAAAGCAGGAAATATCAGTGCTGGAACTCAGGAGTCATGAAAGATAGCTATATGCTTCCCAGTTATAGGCACTACAACAATTTGAATGGGAATCATTTACATCATTAATTATCCTAGTTTGGGATATGAGTTAGATAAATTTACAAGAGTCTCTAGATCTGTATACTCAGGCTGTGTCTCTATCTT